GGTAGTTTGTTTTGTCTCTTGAAACTAAAGTAAAAAATTAGGGCTTAAATTTTCTGTCTTCTTTTATTTCATTTTTCTAGTATCGGTCAGCAGATTTGGGGGGAGGAGGGTAGAAGTGGTGCTTCCCCACAGGGGATTTGAGAGGTGCTGCTCCAGGGGTCTGTGGTGCCCCCCTCCAGCCTCCTGCCTGAAGCTGTCCCTAACCCTGTGGTACCGGCCCTAGCAGAGGAAACGGCGACGGCCCTGGGAAGCAGCCATCCATTCTCCAGCTTAGGACAGAGGGCAAAGGGATCCCAGGAAGGACTAAATCCAGGGAAGATGACAGGGAGAAAGGGGTTTCAAGTGGTGATTGGGGCACTGAAACCAACTGAAACCAACAGGATAAGTTATTGAGTCAAAAAATATCAAGAGAAGAGAAAACTACAAAAAAAAAAGAATGAACTCCCTGCTACTACCAGAGTTCTTCCAAAGGAATGTGGTATTATTTATTTTTTTCCTAAGAAAAAATGAATGCCAACCCTCTGCAACAGTACCAGCAACCTCCACTCAGTTTTTCAATAATGAGGATGCATGAGCCCACCAGGAGGCAGCGGTATAGTTAACAACTCCCTGAGAGGAGGACATCACACACTGACATGGCTAATTAGTGGACCTGCTGTCTTCCTGGGACATATGTTCCGGAGGAGATGAAGAATTGGCCAAGACCCATCAAACCAATGACCGTAACCCACTTATGATGACTCACTTAGGAACAACCTGATCATCAGAATACCCTCAAAAAAAAAAAAAGTATCATTAGTCATAAAGAAGATTAACTAAACAACTAAAGAATTTAGAAACTAAAAAGTAAGCTTAGGAATAATTTTCATCTCTTCTTCCAAGTGAAAACAAAAATGAAGCTGTGTGAAGTGAACGGGTGGGTTTGGAGATACAGTCAAATGTGATTGGGGCAGGGGCAGCATCAACACAAACACCTTTGGCAAGGGACAGAGTTTCTGATGTGCCTTGACACCATTTTTATTGGTCAACCTGGAGACAAACAAGAAGCTGCACTGCTTCTAAGAATTAAATTCTGTTTCACATGAAAGAACTGGTCAGTGACAAGAAGGGATAAAAGCATTCTACCAAGATGCCATGCCCTATTAAAGCTCCTACAGGTGAAAAAAGATCAGAACAGCCAAAGACGTGTCTGTGAAAAGGAACTGTAGGTAGTCAAGACAGGCAAGAGAACAACCCATAGACATTGCTGCAAATAGTCTTCGAGGGAGATAATAGTTGGTGGCTGGGCCTGGAGCCTCCATGTGGACACAAAGAAAATGAAGAAACAGCCTGGCACGAGATATATTCTAGAGAGAAAACTGACAGGATAAGAAAATGTAATTGCTGTGGGAAATACAAAAAAGAAAGAAATCAAAGGTAACTCTTACATTTCTAGCCTGATAACTAGGTTGCCTAGTGGTCTCATCTACTGAGATCAGAAAGTTAGTTATAGGAGGATATAGAGAGAAATCAAGAGTTCTGTTTTATATATACTTAGGCCGAGATGTAGCTGAGACATCCAAATGGAGATATCAGATAGGCACTGAATATATTCACTGGGACATCAGGTAAGAGGTACTGACTGGGAGTATAAATGTAGAAAGTATGAACATAATCAGAGAATAGTTGAGACTACCTAAGGAAAGAACACAGAAAGATAAAGATACCTAACACTAAGCAGAACAGTAATTAATTTTTTTAGGAGGATAACCTACATTTTAAATGAGACTGGGCAATTTCTTTGGCCTGGTCCTATTCAGTATTTTTGAGAATTCCCTAAATAAAGACAGGAGGCTGACTCCTCGGATTGGGGGATGATATTCATTCAATCATTCAAATATGTAGTGATTTCCTACTGTGTGCTGGGCATTAAATTAGGTAGTAGAGACACAAAACAAAATCCCTCCCTTAAAAAGACACTGGAGGCTGGTTGAAGGAGACTTACCAACAGGAGCAATGGTAGTATGG